CTTTGTGATAGCAAAGTCATAATTATCTTCTGAACAGTTTTGTCTTGCCAATTTCATTCACAAGAGTGTTATGGCTTACAGATACTACCTGAGAGTGTTACATGCTGGGATTTTCTCTCTAGACCAATATTAACAAGAAGTCACCTCCTTGACCAAAAGCTCAAATATTTGAAGAGGGACTAGCTACAAAATGATAGCACTCAACTTAGAGAGAAAATGTATTACTCTACCAGTCATTACTTCAGTTCAGATTTTTTGTATCTACAAAATTTTTCACATCAGGCCATAGAATGTCAAAAGAAACTTAACTCTGCAATTGCAATATTTTAGATTATTTTGAGTTCAAAAGACAAGAATTTTCTTTATAACTGATCATAACAATATATTTAAAATAGAAAGTGAATTTAGATCTTGGAAAATATAAAAAAAATGAAAACAAATCAATTTAGAGTGAAAAGATATTTTTTTTTTTTTGGTATTTGTTAAACCTGCAAATATCCATCCACACAAATTTTATGAAAATATTTATTAAAATACATTCCTAAAAGTTTTCAAGAATTATTTTATAAGACTACAAACAGGAGGCATTTTGAATCTGAAGGTAAATAGATTTTTTTTAATCCTTTGATTCCAAACAAGGTGATAAAGCCACTATGATACAAGAGGTTACTGAGAGTGAAAAAATCTGAGAAAAAACAGAGGGGAGAGAACAATAAATGAACAAGTTTCAAGGAGACAGATGACAATATTACATTTGGATTTTTGAAGATCCTAGTTGAGAGTAAAGAAAGAGTTCTACAGGCAAGAAATGTGAGAAAATAAACAATTACAATAGAATTTACAATCACAGCTAGCAATTTCAACAGTAAATTGATGAGACCTAGTTGCAAACTACACTGAACTTCATGAAGACAAGGTATCAATGAGGTAAGCTCATCAGAGCAACTGTCATGGAAATATTTATGAAAAATACACAAGGAATAATCATCCATCAGGAGTGTCCTAGCATGGTGAGACTGTGGCCTTATATTGCACAGAGAAGACTATAGGGTTAACAACAACATCCATCAGTGGCTAAGATATCATCACCAATTACTTTCCACTTGCCTGTAATGTGTTCAAGGTAACAACTGCATGACCAATTTAAAAACATTAGAAAACTGTGTTTTAGTTACATTTCAAAAAGGCATGAAATTGCACATATACATCTTGGTTCTTTTAATTTCAAACTATCACATATTTAGACACAACATCTTTAAATTGTTTACAATGGAAGAACATAGATAAATGGGATTGCATTTATATCATCTTTACCCACTACTTCAGTTCATCCCTTTTCAAATATTTGAAAAATGTTTTTCCATCATTTTTCCTATTAATAACATTTGTTTATTGACAAACATCATTCTATGAGCACAACTGCAGATTTTACAAGCACTAAATTAATAAGAAAAGATGACTTCATATTTGGGAGAGTCAGTCCATTTCACCCATTCAGAGTTCACGAATAGGTTGAGGTCATAAACAGAATCAACCCCTGCCCCAAGAAGGAGGGGGGGGCTTCCAATCATTTACTTTAATGGTTGGAATTTCAACAAACACCATCTATTTGGAGAGGAACTTTAGAAGTAACTAGCTACTAGATTGCTCAGTTGGTCTTTCACACCTACACCTGATTTCAATGATCAATTTGCACATCAGAGGAACTTCAGATCTAAACTTGAATTATCTCCTGCTTCATTCTAACCGGCTATGAAGTGCCATCTTTCAGCCACTTTTTTTAAAGAGGTTCCTTTTATTTTATTTTTACAAAATGTTCTCTCATTTCATCTTCTAAAAACTGCTTAAATTTGAAATGCTTACATGCTTACTAATTTAGCAAACTCTTGCTTAAATTTGAAAATTAAAAGACAGAAGTTTCGATGTACATTACTTAGTTTTATAAATAACTATGAATATATATTTTAGCAGCATCTCTGCAATTTATAACCATCTGATATAATCAGTATCTTATCTAATAAACTGTTATATATTTATACTAATTATTAAGTAACTTGTTTACCCATACTATAAAAAAAAAAATGATTGAAATTTAAGTAATTGGCTATAATCTCTGCATGAGTAATCTAGGATCTTTATCAATACAATTAACTCTTTTGCTATATGTGAGAAATAACTTTTTAAACCATTAAAAGCAAAGATATCCAAAGAAAATTGCCATAAAATAAAATAAACAAAACTCAATGTATTAGTGAAATCTGATTTTCTCTAATTACTAATGAGATATTATAGTAACAAGGCCTGCTCATTTACTGCCTCCACTTACCATAAGTAAATATCTCATTAGCAAATAGAGAAAATTAGGTTGCATGACCAATAAATATATCAAATCACAATTTTCTACTACAGAATCAACTAAAAACAAGTATATGAAGTTTATTTGCAGAGGAGAAAAAATGGTCCTAAATTGTATTAGCATGCTTAAAAAAAATTACAATAAACAATATTTAATTGTTTTACTTGTTTATGAAAAAAAATTTTTTTTTTTCAATTTTGTCTAAGAATTTTTGATTGGGGAAGTAGAGTAATATAAAACATCTTATTTAACAAAGAAAAATTAACACAAAACTGATTTTTAATTATTTTTCCTTTAATAGAATAATCAAAGATAGTTCGAATGAAGGCCTTCAAAGCTATTAAATAAAATTCTCAAATTCATTATGAGATTTTTTAAAGTGATTCCTTCAAAAAGGAAACAAAAAAAAAATGAAGTTCTGAAGATAAAATGAGAGAACATTTTGTAAAATAAAAAAGAGAACCACTTTAAAAACTAATAGCAAATTGATTTGGTTAAGAAGAGAGTGGGGCTGAATGATCATAATAAATGAATGATTTAATGAAATCTGTGAGAATGAATAAGTGAATGAATTATTTAATGAATGGCCACCTGAAAGAAACCTCGATTTATTGGATGCAAACAAAGAAAATCAGAAAAAAGGAAATTTAAACAATTGGATAAAAAGAAGAGTAAGGGGGAGAATGGTCAGTATAGAACAGAAGGAAAGAAAAAGGAAGTTGTATAATAGGAAGAGAAAGAGAAAATTTAGGAAGGACAAATAGAAAAAGAAGCAATGGATAGAAAAATGAGGGGAGAAAAAAAATCAAGTGTTAGCAAAGAAAATGCAACTATGAAAAAGGATACAAAATACTACAAGGAGGGGAAAAAATAGGAAAATTAAAGTATGGGAAGATGAGAGAGAAGTCAAATGAGAAGAATGGGATAAATGCAGAAATTGTCAGAAAAAGAAAAGTTGAATACAGTAAGAGGAGAAGAGAGAGAAAGATAACAAGGAAAGAGAGAGCAAGTAGAGACAAAGCAAGAGAAAGAGAGAGCAAGTAGAGACAAAGCAAGAGAAAGAGAGAGCAAGTAGAGACAAAGCAATGAATACAGAGAGAGAGAGAGAGCAAAGAGAGACACAGATAAGAGCGAAAGAGACAAAGCAAAGAGAAAGAGAGAGCAAGTAGAGAGACAAAGCGGGAGAGAGAGAAAAGAGAGACACAGGAGAGAGAGAGCAAAGAGAGACACAGATAAGAGCGAAAGAGAGCAAGGAAAGAAAGCTAAGAATACAGAGAGAAAGAGAGAGCAAGTAGAGATACAGGCAAGCGGGAGAGAGAGAGCAAAGAGAGACACAGGCAAGGGAGAGAGAGAGAGCAAAGAGAGACACAGGCAAGCGGGAGAGAGAGAGAGCAAAGAGAGACACAGGCAAGCGGGAGAGAGAGAGATAGCAAGTAGAGATACAGGCAAGTGGGAGAGGGAGAGAGAGATAGCAAGTAGAGATACAGGCAAGTGGGAGAGGGAGAGAGAGATAGCAAGTAGAGATACAGTCAAGAAAGGGAGGGAGAGAGAGAGGCAAGAGAGAGGTACAGAGACAGAGACACAGGCAAGAGGGAGAGGAGGACACGGGGAGACACAGGCAAGAGAGAGGCAGGACAGGGAGACACAGGCAGAGAGAGACAGGACAAGGAGACACAGGCAAGAGAGAGGCAGGACACAGAGACACAGGCAAGAGGGGCAGGACACGGAGAGACACAGGCAAGTAGAGATACAGGACAAGTGAGACAGGAGAGAGAGACACGGTGAGACACAGGCAAAGAGACAGGGCAGGACAGAGACACAGGCAAGAGAGAGAGACACGGTGAGACACAGGGCAAGAGAGAGGCAGGACACGGTGAGACACAGGCAAGAGAGAGGCAGGACACGGTGAGACAGGCAAGAGAGGCAAGAGAGAGAGACACAGGCAAGAGAGAGGCAGACACGGTGAGACACAGGCAAGAGAGAGGCAGGACACGGTGGAGACACAGGCAAGAGAGAGAGGCAGGACACGGTGAGACACAGGCAAGAGAGAGGCAGGACACGGTGAGACACAGGCAAGAGAGAGGCAGGACACGGTGAGACACAGGCAAGAGAGAGGCAGGACACGGTGAGACACAGGCAAGAGAGAGGCAGGACACGGTGAGACACAGGCAAGAGAGGCAGGACAGGTGAGACACAGGCAATAGAGAGGCAGGACACGGTGAGACACAGGCAAGAGAGAGGCAGGACACGGTGAGACACAGGCAAGAGAGAGGCAGGACACGGTGAGACACAGGCAAGAGAGTGGCAGGACACGGTGAGACACAGGCAAGAGAGTGGCAGGACACGGTGAGACACAGGCAAGAGAGTGGCAGGACACGGTGAGACACAGGCAAGAGAGAGGCAGGACAGATACAGAAAAGAGAGAGAGAGAGAAAGATCAAGGTGAGACACAGGCAAGAGAGAAAGAGGCCAAGGTGAGACACGGGCAAGAGAGAAAGAGGCCAAGGTGAGACACGGGCAAGAGAGAAACAGAGTGCGAAGTGATAAAGCAAGGAAGTGAGATAAAACACAAAAAGAGAGCAATTGGAAAACCAATTATAGAGAGACATAGGAGGGAGAGAGAAGAAGAGCAATATCAGAAATTCTAAGATAAAATGGAGAAAGAAAAATTGAGGAAAGAGAGAAAAAAATCTGCACAAATGTGACTGTATTCTCATAAAATGTGCAAGAAGATAAATACGATTTGATTTCTATTGGCAAGCCAAAGCGTCTTCTGTGAGAAAGACATCACAATTAATGTTGCCCATGTGTATTGCATGCAGTGACCTCTGACCTCACCTTATGTATCATCATCAAATGGCGACAAGAAGTTGCATGCACCACTTTCACAAATAGCTGTGTTATATATATATATACATACATACATACATACATACATACACACAGAGGTGTATATGTGTTTGTGTGTGTGTGCTAATAGTGTATACTACATCTCTACCTCCTGCTTACCTACTTTGTATAATGAAGGATGCACACATATTCAGAGAGAATTGAACAGGACTAGACTGAAATAGAAAAAGTTGTTTTTGTTTGAATAAAAATTTCCAGATGCTTGGCCATTAAATTACTATTATTAATCAAGCAGAATTCTCTTTTTCAATGATTTTATACTAATACATTTTCTATTTATGGTGTGTGTACTGGAAAATGTTTCTCACACCTGTACAAGTGAAGGGGCTTTTACAGCTTCTCTATGCATATTAATGCATACTCATGTATGTGCTTATATATATATATATATATATATATATATATATATATATAATATTTCTTTACACACATACATGCTTCAGCAGAGAAAATGTAACAGTGAAAACAAATGGGACAGACAATAAATAATACAGGGAAGAAAAGAGATAACAGGAAAAAGAAACAGGAGGGTGCAGGAAAGACAACGCAATAGTTGAAAGAGAGAGAGAGAGGAAAGTGAATAGAGATAATGAAGAAAGGGACAGAATCAGAAATTGTCATAAAAAGAAAGAAATGAACATGGAATAAAAGAAAGAAAGAAAGAAAGAAAGGGAGGGAAAGACAGAAAGAGAGAGAGAAAAGACAGAGAGGGAGAGAAAGAGCTAGCAGAGACAAATAAAATGAAAAGAGACAAATCAAGAGAGAGTAGAGGTTGAACTTTTTTTACCAATAATCTATAATTATTTTTGTTATCTTGCAGGTAGCAACTGACTAGAAACTGGCAAAAATGGCATCTGGCATGAAAATGTCTATGAAATACATTTATATCATTGAATTACTCCGTGCAAGGAAAACTTGCACCCATTAATACTTACTGAATGCTTACAGAAACCAAATAAAAAATGTGAGCATAGTTAGGTAGTTTGCAAAGTGTTTCAGAATTGACAACAGTGATGTGTGACAAACCACATTCAGGATGGCACTGTCATATCTCAAAATGAGGGCTTTTGTTCATTGTTGGTGAAAATAAATAGAAGGCATTTCAGAGCATCTCTCAAAGAAAGATAGACCAAGGAAAAGAGGAACAGATAAAAACAGAAAAGAATAGAACCATTTTTGTACCAAGTTCTTTCAGGATATGGTCGACCATGGTCCACCACACCTTCCTGTCTTTTGTTGCTCTAAGTAACTTTTGATGCTTTATCCTCTTTTGTTCTTTGTTCTGCCCTCTATTTACACAAACTTGAGTTACTCACTTTGTCTCTTTGCTTTTCTTGCCTCCAATATGTCCTGTGATTATTTAATTCTCTAGACCTTCTTTCCTCCTTATGCGTCCAAGAATTTCAACTCCTGATTTTAAATATAAGTTTCTTTGCTGTGTCTATTTTTTTTAATCATATCAACCCATGAAAGGTAGTAAGGTAATTAAAACACAAGGGCTTACTGAATATGAAAGAATAAGAAAAAAAAGAGATACATTATTAAAGAGCATGAACAATAAAAGAGTAATCAAGAGGACAATTGGTAACAATTGATACTGCATTTGAATTTTTGAAGATCAAAGTTGGTTGGAAAGCATGTAGCCAGAAGAGAGTTCCACAAGCAAGAAGTGCAAGAAAAAAAATTGTTAGCATAAAATTTACAGTTACATCTAGCCAATTCAACTGAATTGGTGAGACCTTGCTGCCAATCTAGTACTACACTTAACTTCATAGTCTAGGTACCATAGCAAAGAGTTCATCTGAACAATTACTATGAAAATATAGAAAAGGCAGAGGGAAGCTACATTCCTTAAAACTAATGATAAGAGAAACTGAAGTAAATGAAAGAAAAGTGAAATAAAAAAAAAAAAAAAGAAATGGTTATATTTGTAGCTAGTGACAAAAGTGGGTAAGATAAAGGAGATGGGGGGGGGAAGATAATTTAAAAGAGACAAAAAGTGTGAGAATAAATGACAATAGAGAAAGAGAGACAGTAAAGGACTAAACAATAGATAGGTAAATGGAAATAAATGATATCCCTAAGAAAGAGGGAAGGAGAGAGAATGAAATCTATACATGATGACATAACGAAGCAGAGGAGAGAAAGCATAAGAGAAAAACAAAACAAAAAAGAATAAGGAGGAATAAAACCTTAAAATAAAAAAAAGTTGAGAAATATAAAGAAACTGTAAGAGGGAAGAAGAGTAAATGATAATTGAAAGAGTGAAATATTTGCAAGTGCAAATAGATAGAATCCTATCAAGAAAGGGCAAAGGAAAGAAAGAAGTGGTGGAGGTAATTAGAGAAGGTAAAGTGAATTGTGGGTGCAATGCATAGGATTTTATTTGACTGTCATCATTGGTAATTAATTGTGAGAGTGTTTTGCAAGTTTTCCACTTGGTGTCATTGTTGTATTGTAATTGATGAAGTGAGAAAGAAAGAAAAAACTAAAAGGTTCATGGCATTGGCTTGGCCAAGCAGAAATATGACGTTAATTAAAGCAAACAATAAACACACCATTCTCTTTGCCATAGCAGATATACACACACACACCAACAGTTAACATTCAGGAAGAGATTATTGGGTGGGTATATAGTGGGAAGTTGGGGTAGAGGTTATGAATACACAAAAACAATGTCAGGCAGAATTTAATTTATTTATATGAAGTAGAGAGAGGAGATTCACATACATACATATACTTAGATATGTACTTGCAACCAAAATAAAATATATACAGTTATGCTCATTAATACAACAGCAATGTATATTGTATAAGCATAGTTAAAATCATGTGTGTATATATAAGCATGGTGGAGTAATAGATAACGATTCAGATTGAGGACTTGGAGAACAAAGTTCAAATTCCAGTCAAGTTCGTAACATTCACTTACGTACAAATATCCTTGGGAAAAGCAAGGCAGATTAGTTCTTATACCCTTGGGTGACAACTGGTCTAGGAGAAAGGCAACTCTGAATTCAAAACCTCCAACTATAGGTTAAATAACCTCAGCAACTAGCAATTGGCCAAGTGTATTTAGTATGGCTACACCTCCTTGACCAGTTGCCAACCAAGGCTATAGAACCTAGTCTATCCTGCTATTTACCCATAGCTGGAGGGAGAAGAATAGGATTCATACCTTTCCCAAGGGTATTAGCACATAAGTAAATGTAATGGATTCAACTGTAATTCAAACACGGTTCTCTGATTCCTCAATCCAAGCTGCTATCCATTACTCCATGCCTATATATATATATATATATATATATATATATATATATATATATATACATATATACACATACATACATACATACACAGGGTGCGATGGATAAATTGTCTAAATTACACACACAAAAAAGAAAATAATAGTGACATCTCATTTACCAAAATTACCCAAAATTATATTGAAATACTAAAAAGTAAATTTATTCAATAAAATCGCCATTGGCTTTAACCACAACCTTCAGACAACTTCAGAATCTCCTGAAATTCTTCTGGACGGTCTCCTTGTTTAAGTTGGTAAATGCTGCCATAATCCTTGCCTTCAGTTCATCTTTGGTGTTACAAGGAGTTTTGTTATCTCTCACTCAACTTTACCCCAAACATAAAAATCAAGGGGGGTTGCAGTTTAGGGAGTTAGGTAGCCAAATGTAAAGGGTGATATTGTCACAGAAATTGTTTGACAGCCATGACTGGGCTCTGTTGGTTGTATGGTTTGGTGCAATTTACTTCCAGTATCATTCTTCCAAAAAGAACCCTATCAGTTGCTCATGACACCACATCTGCACAGTTTACATGTTTAGGCACTGGCAATGGATTTCTGCAGGTTTGACTCCTCCTGCCTACAGAAAGTGCACTATGCTACATGGTACCTTGAGGGTGGAACTGCTGAATGGAAAATACATACATCTGACCTCATTGCTCTCTGACACTTGACTGAACGATGGAATGCTGTATGCAGCTAGTTACCTGTCATGCTATGTATATGTGTGGAATCATGCATCAACACCTCCCTGTTTTTACAGTGTAATTTCTAAATTGCTTTTACTTTCTGAGAGAGAGAGAGAGAGAGAGAGAAAGATATTGTAGTTTGAATTTTTTATCAGATCAAACTCAAAATTTGATGGCAATATATGACATAAAAATATCAATGTATATGCATGCATAAGACAGAATTATGACAAACAATTTCATGTATGCATACTAACATGATGTACATAAAAAAATATAAAAGTGTGTGTGTGTGTGTGTGTGTGTGTGTGTGTGTGTGTGTGTGTGTGTGTGTGTGTGTGTGTGTGTGTGTGTGTTAGTGTGCTTACCTATCTGTGAGAACATACAAGTATATCAGCATTTGACAACAAAAATGAAAACATGCCAAATTCACCTGTGTACACAAATATACACATAAAACATATCTGTAGAAATATACATGCATATACAAATCTTAAAATGGAGTTAAAGAAAATGATAATTGTAAAAAGTAATCCTGACCAAAATTTTAATAGTAATTCCATTATTAATAACAACAATGAGATTTTGAGAGAGAAGTTAAAGAAAAAATGCTGTTCCTAGAACTTTGAAGTGTTGAGGTGTGAGAGGTTAGATATATAGAAAAGAATAAATAGCTTAGTAGAAAACATCTCATTGAGTGATGCGCAAGGAAAATTAAAAGGGAAAGAAAATAAAAATGTG